CTTAGGGGGTTTAGGGGGTTTAGGGGGTTTAGGGTTTAGGGTTTTGGGTTTAGGGTTTAGGGTTCGGGGCTTAGGGGGTTTAGGGTTTAGGGTTTAGGGTTTAGGGTTTAGGGTTCGGAGCTTAGGGTTTAGTTTTCGGAGCTTAGGGTTTAGGGTTTAGGGTTTGGGGTTTAGTGTTTAGGATTTGGGGTTTGGGGTTCAGGTTTAGGGTTAAATTCGAGTTTAGGGATTAGGGTTCAAGGAATCTAAGCGGGATTCGGGTCTAGAGCCCTGTCTCGAAAAACTTGCAGATAATACACGGCTCCTTTACTATCGTTCAAGGAATCTCCTCAGCCCTAAGCCCCACACCCCAAATCCTTTAAGTACCCGAAGCCCTAGACCCTAAACCCTACAATCCTAAACCCCAAACCCCAGTACTCTAAACCCTAAGCCCGAAATCCTAAACCCCACACCCTAAAACCCAAACCGCTAAAACCCAAATCTGTTAAGTATTCTTGGGGTCCCCAAATCCTACACCCCAAACCCTAAACCCTAAACCCCATTTCCCAAACCTCAAACCCTAAACCTTAAACCCTAAACCCTAAACCCTAAACCCTAGACCCCATTTCCCAGACCTCAAACCCTAAACCCTAAACCCTAAACCCAAAACCCTAGTTCCTAAGCCCCAAACCCTGAGTATCGTTGAAGGAATCCTCGGCTCCTGGGGTCTCTGGAAGGTTTCGAGAGTTTAGGGAGTTTGCGGGTTCGGGAGATTAGTTGGTAGTGTAGGGTTTGGGGTTTAGGGTTTGGGGTTTAGGGTTCAGGGTTTGAGGTTTAGGGTTTGGGGTTTAGGGTTTAGGGTTGAGGGTTTAGAAGAGTTTCTGGGCTTCAAGTTGGCAGCTGGCCCCTTCTTTTGAGTGCCCCTGGAACTACCGGTTGCATGGCCTCGAGGCATCGAAACCCGGACATGAGCGTAGTTAGGGCTCCGGAGCACCACGGCCTCCTTGAGGTCCTAAACCCTAAACAGCCCCAAACCCTACACCCTAAACCAGGGGCAGGGTTTAGGGTTTAGGGTTTAGGGTTTAGGGTTTAGGGGCCCCTCCACTCCGAGCCCCCAAGCTCCTGAAGCTGAGACCTGAGTTTCAACAGCTCCAAGAGCTGCAGCTGAGGCGGGACAGGTGCCTCCCACGGCTTCAGATGGCCTGCCAGCACGGGCCCCGCGTTCGAGGGTTCGAGAATATTATACTATATCGTTGTAATAAAGACCCCCCAAACTGCTAGGGGATTTAGGGTTCGAGAGTTGGGGTTTACGGGTGGAGACAAGACTTGACTAATCGCTAGGCCTGAAACCTTACAATCTAAACCCGCGGCTAGTGCTCAAAGCTCGGAACTTCCCCGTCGTTACCCGGGGGTTAGGTCGCTGTTGCTGGAGCCCTAAACCCTAAACCCCTAACTAAAACCCTAAGCCCTAAACCCCGGCTTCCGGGATTCGGCCACCTCGCTCTTCGGCGGTTCTCCGAAGTTCTCGGCTTTGGAGTTTCAAGGTTTGGGCCTCTGGTGGAGACGAGAAGCATCGTAGGGGAAAAGGGGATCGCAGGGTTGTCACGGGAAAGTTCAAAGCGGAGACTCCCCCAAAGCTTCAACTCAACCAGGAACCCTGAACCCTGAACCGTAAACCCTGAACCCTGAATCCTGAACCCTAAACCCTAAACCCTAAACCCTGCCCTAAACCCTGCAGACCAGGGTTAAGACACCCAAAGCCCCTGAGCCGCGCAGTACGGCTGTTGCCGAGTCACAGAGGTAAAACATGGCCCGATCTTGAGGCCTCCAGATACCTGAAGACGGATTAGGGTTCAGGGGTTTAGGGGTT